AGGTATAATTGTCGTTCACTAATAATTATATTATTTACAATAATTTTCATTTTTTAAAAGAGAAGTATGCAGTAGGGAAAATTTGTCTCCGTGCGTCCATAAAAAAATAAAATAAAAATAAAAAAACATGCTTCAGTGTTTGAAAGAAAAGTATGTACTGGGAAAATTTGTCCTATGCTTCAGTAATAGTCCATGCCTTATTACTACAGTTTAAGTTTGAATGCGAAGAATCTTGGAGATTTTGTGTTTGCTGTTTCTACCTTCCACTCCATTTTTCTTGGATGGGTATCTATGTTTGGTCGTCGAAAGTGAAGATTTCTCAAAGCCTGCACGGAATCAGTATTCTCATGTAATATAAATGTTTTGAACGCTATTCATGCTCTTAATGGATGTGTTGGCACACAAGGAAGAAGTGGTGGCACAAGAATTTAAAGACTTAATCTTTTCTTGGCCCAAAGAAAATGGAGGGGTTGCCTCTTATCTCTACAAAATATCAAGGCTTTTGGTTGGTCGTGAATTGCAAGTTGAGGCGCGAGAATGTAGAACCTTCTTTAGGGTTTTGTTGAATGTTGCAAGTCCAAGCTTGGGTAATTTGATTCCTCTTTTGGTTGGGTCATTTAATGTGCTACAATTATATTTGGGTTAAGTTTTATATTGCAATAGGAATGAGAAAGATAAATATAAACCATTTTTAACAATGGTCAATGCACGTTGCCAAAACTAATGAAAATTTTACTTTTAACAACAAAATGTGAAAGTTGCAAAAATATGAGAATTTAACAACAATAATATACGTTATAACATATAAACGTTGCAAAATGTTTTACAACAGAGAATGAACGTTTGCCAAAGGTAATGTAAAACCGTTAATTTCAGCAACGTTCATTACCCGTTGTCAGAAATGATATTTAACAACAGGCAAATAATGTTGCTAAATAACGAGGTTCTAACAACGTTCATTAACCTTTTTAAAAAAAATCGGAAATATGTAAACTTTTTGCAAGTGTCAAGCGAATGCTGCATAAAGGTGGCAATAGCATCATTAAATAAAATATTATTGCAAAATCTCAATTTTGTTAACCACGAAATACACTAATTGAATGTTACGATAGATCCCCTTTAACAACTGTCAATCAATGAATGTTGTCTTTTACACGTTACAAAAAATCATTTTTCTTGTAGTGGTATTTCTTTATTCTACCTTGCACTCCATTTTGCTTTAATAGGTATATATTGTTTGTGGGTAAAAGTGAAGCTTTCTCAAAGCCTTCACGGAATCAGTATTATTATGTACAATGACGTTTTGAACGTTATTCATGCTCTTATACCAACAGAGTAAGAAAGACAAACTAAACCCTACTTGCAATTATTTTATAGATTATCTACATTTTTTTAAGTTACAAACTGCAGTTTCTTTAATAGCCTGAAATCTTTGCATTATTTTGGTGGCTCCACCTTAGGATTTCCTCATTGAACTTGTCTTAGGTTTTTAAATCTTAAAAATTTGCAGTTTGCCCATGAAATTAATATCGATTAATTAAGATAGAGATAAACAACAATAAAATAAATAAATGATAATAATAATAATAATAATAATAATAATAATAATAATAATAATAATAATAATAATAATAATAATAAATACAGCTGGATAGAGCTGTGGTAGGCAGATTACGGGGTACTAGTATTTTTGTTGACATCAGGGAATAAAATTTTATAGGAAAAATTGTAGCAGTGGTCCCTAACATTTTCAATTTTTCAGACATTTTCCTAATTTTCATTTTGTGCCAGCGAAAGTCCTAAACCTTTTATAAATATGTAGCTGGAGTCCAAATAAATGAAAAACATTCATTTGACCATTAATTGACCAATAAAATTGATTTTGATCAAATCTAAAACGGCAAAATGGTAAATTCATTATTTTTTTACATAAAAAAATTTAAAAAATAATAATAAAAGGATATGTTCACCCCCATCCCCAACCCCAACTTCACCCACCAAAATTGAATCAGATGCACCTCCCGCCTCCTCCTCCTTCCATAGCAACTGTCTCTCGCTGCCACTCTTCGCCACCACATCCTTTGCCTTCCCCTCCAATTTCCACCTCCATCCCAAAACAAAACCAATTACTCTTCCATAGCCACAACCCGTCGCTGCCACGCTTCGCCTACGCCTTCCCCACCTATCACCACCTCCACTTCCATCCCAAAACAAAACAAATTGCAACCTATCATACCAAAAGCTCAATTATCAACCGTTTTAATCACCCAATTTTAATTATTATATCAAACACCTTATAGGCATACTACAATGTAGTGAATGTAGCAACATTAGGTTGGAATCCATTCTTCTTGCAATAACTATAGTTACCAAAATTGAGCATATACAATTATCATGGGCTAAACCAACAGATGATAATTTGGACGTTAATTTAAACTCATTGTCGTGACTAAAGCCATCAGAAAATGATTGAATTCTAAAATGGTTGGTAAACTGCCATTTTCTTATATTTATTCACTAATTCGTTTTTTTTGAAGTGAGAACTGCTATTACCGTTTCAAGAAAACTCGACCAAAAATGACGTACCTTTTGGACTTTGAGCAGAAGTAGGAAGTGTTGCATAAATGAGAAAATCACCTTGTTGGGACCTGTTGTTGTTGCGGTGAAAGGTTTGATGGTCGTGATGGCGATCCCAAATAGGGATAATTGCAGCAAGAAAGGTGTGGCGATCATGGCAGTGGGCGTTGGTGGCTCTGATATTTTGTTTGGGTGGGAGGAGTGGACATGGTGTGAAGAAGGAGATGAATAGTTTTTTTTTCTTTTGATTTTGTTTAAATTATTTTAATTGTTTTATGGGGTTAAATAGCAAAGTTACCCTTTTACCCTATCAATTTGGTCAACTAACGATCAGATGGATGTTTTCCACCTATTTGGACTCCAACTGCATATTTATGAAAGGTTTGGGACCTTCGCTGGTAAAGTCTGCAAAATTTAAAAAAGTTGGGGACTGCTTCTGCAATTTTCCCAGATTTATATGTGATATATGTGTATATCATTTAATAATTATTATGTACTATTCTTGGTACGTACGTAATAGGAACTTTGAGTTGCAGTTCTTCTCACTATAAAATGCATATGGCTCATTTTAAAGTGTTACTACTTTGCTCATTCTTTAAAGCCACAATCCTGTCCAGAGATATGCAAGGTCAAATTTCTGCATTACTTCCCAAGTATTTACACCAGGAAGAAGTGGTGGCACACGAATTTAAAGACCTAATATTTTCTTTGCCCAAAGAAAATGGATGGGTTGCCTCTTCTCTCTACAAATATCAAGGCTTTTGGCATCCGATCAGGCACCTTCAGGGGATCATTACATGTCAACGACATTTCCAGGCTCAGGATTCTGATTTTATTCTTATTACAACTCCCAAATCAGGGACGACCTGGTTGAAGGCAATCGTGTTTACCTTAATGAATCGAATGCAATATCCCATTGTCCAATATCACCCTTTACTCAGCAAAAGTCCACATGATCTTGTGCCATTCTTGGAACACAGACTCTACGTTGATAATCAAATCCCGGATCTTTCCTCAATGAATTCTCCCAGGCTGTTCGCAACCCATATACCATTTTCTTCCATCCCGAAATCTGTGCAGGATTCTGGATGTAAGATTGTCTATCTGTGTAGAAACCCCAAGGACACTTTTGTCTCCATGTGGCAATTTTCTGACAAGTTAAGGCCTAGGGAAATGGGAACTCGTTCACTTGAAGAAACCCTTGATATGTTCTGTAGAGGAGTGAGTATAGCTGGACCCTTTTGGGACCATGTTTTACTAATAACCTTTCTTTCGTCCCTCTGTCCTCACAAGGTAAAGTTGAACTGCTTCAATTAAAAGCTTAAGGTGACAGATGAGGTGGGAATTTTTCATTTTTTTTTTCATTTATATGTTGTTTTGAGCAGACTCTTAACACTCGAAGTCAAATTCATTTTTTCTTGAAAGTCTGACGCATGCATAATTTGAGTTGCATCATTCATGGTTTAATGCTTATATATATATATATATNTTATGTTTGTCCTTTCTCTTATTATAATGACCCCATAGCAGAAAATTGATATTGTTATAAATAACAATTAAAATGAAGGCAGGCCAAAGTTTATAACATTGCCTTCTCTATTTCCCTTTTCGGCTTCTTCTTTCTCTTTGTTCCTTTTTTTTTTCGAGCTTTATTTGGCTCTCTTTGCTGTTTTTTGTTTGTTTCTTTTTTCTCTCTACGTTCTCTCATTATAAGTCTACTTTAATTAAAAAAAGATTTGTTCACTCAAGTCTCACTCTCTTTTTTTCTTTTTCTTTTTATCCTTTTTAGTTGTCACTACTTGGTCAATGTTTACTTTCTCTCTCTTATTTTAATATAATTTAATTTAATTTGACCAATTTTATTAGAGTATTGCAATAAAATAATCTCCACACCTTATTTTTAGGTATTTTTATGCACGAAAAAATAATTCAACATGATTAAAAAGAATAAAATATTAATTTGGTGATTTAGTTTTTAGGTAGCACGTATTGAGCTCGACTACAGAGTTCGAATCCTAGATAAGTAAATTTATGTAATTCGATAAACTTAAAAAGTTGTAAATAAATCAAGTAGTGGGGAAATGACAATTTCATTATGTACTAAATGAAATTTATAATCATGATAAGATATGATATATTAAAAATATGAAAATCAATAAGGAATAGATGTAGGTATGAGAATTAATATTACATTTTTGCCTTATTTGGCCAAAAAAAAAATTCTTATTTAAATATTGACCCCACTGAGTCTGAATCTTGGGTCCGTCCCGGTGTTGTCTTCAATAGGTACTCTTCTTGAAGTACGATGACATGATAGAAAACCCTACTGTCAATCTTAGATGCATTGCTGATTTCTTGGAATGTCCATTTTCCATCGAGGAAGAAGAATCAGGAAAGGTGGAAGAAATCTTGAAGCTGTGTAGCTTTGGTAATTTGAGCAATCTGGAAATCAACAGGACTGGGAAGTTGTCATCTGGAGAGGAAAACAAAGTATTCTTCCGTCAAGGCAAGGTTGGAGATTGGAAGAATCATCTAACCATTGAGATGGTAGAGAAGTTGGATCGAATTACCGAACAAAAGCTCAGAGGATCTGGATTGGTACTATAAAAGGGAAATTTAGTATTGTTCCGGAAGAACAAACAGTTCATTTTACTAAATATTCCTTAAGCCTAAATATATTATTGTGATTTTTTTTTTTTGTATTTCTACTGTGGAGATTGTATTCTAATGAAATATTAAAGTTGTCTTAGTTTCATCTCACTTATCTTTGTAAAAGTAATTACACGCCCATTTTCTTTTCTTTCCATTCGAACTTCAACAAAGTGGAAGAAATTATTTTGTTTAGGTTTCGACAAACTTCATGAGAGGCAGGTATGGGATTCATAAATAAACTAAAAACATGAACAACTTTTCGATTTTGAATTTTTTCGATAAAAATAAAAAATAGGTAACCGACAATTTCACAGAGAATTATGAGAATGGAACATAAGAATTGACTAAAAGCCCCCAAAAAAAAAAATATACATTCACGGAACTGGCTGAAGAAAGGACAACTTGTAGGCAAGAAATAAAATCTTATATTGTGAAGTGCAAATGAAAAAATAAAAATAGATAATTCACTAACAACTTTCTAGTTTCCACTGAAGACAAAACAATCAGGATAAAAAACTTGTTGATTTGCATAGAATATTAAGAATTTAATTTAGACTATTGATTCATGTAAAATACCAATGGACTATTAAAATTTTATTTGCAGTCGCTCATTGCCATAGTCGTCCGCATATATGTGACAGTTAGTGATTTGATGGATTAATGTAGTAATTTTTTAATACCTCGTGCATCAAAACACTAACACCACATGTATGCCATTTAGGGCTACTAGATAGTGAGCGACTGCAATAACATTATTCCTAAATTAAAGTATATTACAACAAAAAAATACTTCTAATACAATAATTAATTCCATAGAATCTTAGAACAAAAATAAATCTAGAAATAGAATCCTGTGATATTGCTACTGAAAACAACTCCTAACTCAATAATTTCACTCCATGAAAACTAGCATCATTCTCCCCGATGAGCATCAAGTATTAAGTAATGATGAAGTACAGGATAAGGCAGCAGCATTATAGTAACAATGGGAGAGGAAAGAACAGAAATTTGGCTGGACGCGGCTGGGTTCGACCGGGCCTTGACAGTTCGGTTACTTTTAAATTTAATGCTTTTCTTCAGTTGTCCTTTAAGTTATGATTAGGATTTATTTTGTCAAAACCTATTTGAATTTTGCTAGCTGTACACCCTTTTATTACATCAAGTTTGACACTGTGTGTAGGAAATCTGACTATTGAATGAAAAGAGTGTTATTATGCCCCTGTTTGGCCCCCATTATATTACATTTCATTACATTAATTTTTTTTCTCTCTTCATCTCAACCATACATTCATCAAATAAAATAATAATACAAACAAATCAAAAACTTTTCNAAACAAATCAAAAACTTTTCAACCACACATCTCCCATCAATCACTATTCTAAAAATTATTTACCCCCCAAAAATTTAATTTAATGGGGGGCAAACAGGGGCTAAAATCAATATGTGAACAAACTGCCAACGCATATGATGTTAAACTTGATATACATGTAGCAAGATTAAACCTATTTAAACTTTGTCTGGGGAGAGTCTTGTTTTTGATGGATTTTGAATAAAGTATAGACGTTCTTGAAATCAACCCTTTTAAATTGAGTTATTTATTTATTTTTTCATTTAAATCGAAGATGTGGTCTACATCTGGTACTCGAGTTTGTTTGCGAAATTTTCTATTATGATAAAAACTTGAGAAACATTTTCTCGTAGTTGTTATTCCTTGTATTCGGATTTCTCTTTCGTTGGAGGAAAGAGGGGTTTACCAA